AAAAACCAGTACGGTCGATGTTCAACTTTGCTATCGTACCACTCCTTCATGGATCACGAAAGTAACACTCCTGAGCAGTGTTGGGGGAATATATGTTCGCTCTTCTCAGCTGATTTCGGGAGTTTCCTCACGAAGCAGGGCACGCAAAATTAACTCAAAATTTTCGTATTGTCGCTGACACTTGTAGTTGATCATGTGTATATTTTCCCACGTTTTCGCTCAGGTATCTCTCAGCTCGCTACGCGTTGTCTTTGAATGTAGACGAAGACCCAACGGCATCGCCTCGTTGTGTTCTAGACCAGCAGGGAGCGCTGTTGGGGCGGGTGGTCTGCTCGGAGTTCTCGGGCTGTAGTCAAGTGTTGACAGGCAGTCTGAGGGTGAATCCATGGGACACTGAGAAAGTGCTCAATATGCTAGATGAGAGTCTTACGCTTCCTATGCAGGAACTAACGAGCCGGTGAGAGGAACTAGGTGGAACGTTAGGGTTTGATAACGATGGGGAAAATGTTCCCAATGTGACATTTGCATGGAGAACTGTTCGAAGAGAGTGTTCCTAGCCATGTGTAAAGTTCAAAACGAGTTCCCCCCGGGAACATTATAGGTTTTTGGATGATTTTCTTGATGTATTCACTGTTGGTAGTAGGTTCGCCAGAGACATTTCGTATGTGACTAGCCATAGCCTGTTGAGATGGGCTCAGGGTATCATCAACGATTTGGCGCGATGCAGGGCCCATTATATGTCGAGAATGTCCAATCCCGATGCTGACAAGGAGGTGGGTGTAGTGGGAGTTCCTTGATCTTAGATCATTAGCAGCCCTGTAGTTGTGCGGACTCCTGGGGTGATGCTTTCTTGGTGTTGTTAGTAGAATATGCAAATGGTCAACCACATGTGTTGGTGACAATATGTATAAGGAGAATCAATATTGATTTCTGCAAACTTCTTCCCGAATTCGTATATTAACTCTTTGGAAACACCTGAGCTCAGCTGAGGAAACCAAATATATATTTTCCCCGAAATTGTCATTAGGTTGCCTGGGGAGTCCGCGGTAGCGGCCAAGTCCTGGCACAAATCGACGATCATAATTTCTTCAAACTGGATGTCCCTCGAGTTGTGAGGGACTATAGTAAGGCCCAGAGGAGGATATTCTTCTTTGATAATGAGGGAACCCTGGCACCAGACTTGAGGCGCATGTTTAGGCATTCGGAACCTGAAGTGAATGCAGAGGTAGTAGTAGTAGTGAGAGTCGAGTTTTTGTTGGGATTGAAATTTCAAATAGTATATGAACATGAACATTGGAGTTTTACCCGTGATTTCACGACTATTGCATGTCGCGAATATCGCGTTTTTCACGGGGTGTTACGCCACTTTACGGGTGAAACTCCATCGTCGTATGAAGAATGAAATTCCATTTGCTGTCCTCGCGAAAGAATTTCCTCTTTGTCGTCGGACACGTAAATCTGCCAGATTGGTGTTATTTCGATGAATGTGGCTGTGATGTGGTATTCTCCTCAGTCCAGTACGTTGATGTCCCACGGCAACCCACCCTCAGCAGCAGTATTGGACGCCTTGTCGAAGCTGTGTAGTGACCCTAGGAATACGGTGGTCATTTTGAGCGGGCGGGAGAAGTCTTTATTACAGGTTAGTTCATGGTATTGGCGTTTCACACATTTCACGTGAAATGTCGTATTAGAACGCAATATTCGCGCTATGCGGTAGTCATGAAATATATCATTCGTTAGTTTTTTTTCATATCACGGGTGGAACTCCATTGATTATGATGATATTTTCTCGTAGGAGTGGTTCGGATCTGTCCGCAACATTGGTTTAGCCGCAGAGCATGGGTACTACTGGAAACTGCCACCTAACAGTATGAAGAGGCACACGCC